GGGGGGTGGAGAGGGGAGTGGGGAGAGGATGAGGGGTGCGCAGGAGACGGGCACGAGGGTGAATAAGGGCTGAGGAGGGCCGGGGCGCGCTGAGCATGAGAGGGTGATGCGCAGGGTTGGACATGGGATGGGGGCCGGGGTAATGCGTGCATGGGCAGGAGGGGCGGCGCCGTGAGGGGGAGCGGGTTTGGGAGAGGTGCGAGGTTTGGGCGGCGGGAGAGGCTGCCCGCTGTGAAAGAGCTGAGGCTTGGGGTTGGGAGCGGTGCCGATGACGCTGATAGTGGGTTGGACACCCTCTGTCGACTGCACGAAGGTGGCAAGGTGGCGGGAAGCTGGGTGATCTGGCACGACGGCAGCGGCCAGCACGGCGGACGGGGCGCGAACCGGCCGCTCGGAGGTTTTCATGGGTGGTCTTAGGTCGTGAAAACCCAGCTTCACACCTGCACGGCCTTCCTGCCGCCGCGCTGAGCGTCTGTGAGGCGCCACATCGGCTTCTCCGCCGCCCCGCCAGCCGCGCCGGACCCGCTGTCGCCCGTGCCGCCGCCGCCGCTCGCACGCCTGCGGCCAGAGGCGCCCACGCCTGCGCCGCTGCTGCCGCCGCTGCCGCCGTCGGGCGCCGGTTCGGCCGCGGCGCATTCGCCGGTGCTGGAGGCTGGGCCTGGCCCGTAGGGCTCCGCCATGCAGCGGCCGATGAAGAACGGCAGCAGCCGGAGCCCCTCGCAGTCCCAGACAGTGCTGTTGAGTGAGCAAGCAGGCAGGGCACGGGTGCTCGGCAATTTCGCCGCGAGGACTGCCTAGTGGACCCAGCCAGGGGCGCAGCAAGACGGGGCCGCGCCTGGCCTGCAGCCGCGCGCGCGGCGCCTGCGGCGACCCGCGCCACCCGCCCCAAACATCACGGCCGCCCCGGCCATCACCTGAGCTCGTCCGCGCCTTCCAGCCGCCGCCATACCGGCCCCAGCCCCTCGCGCGCCTCCCTCCGCCGCCGCCGCGTCCCCGCCTCGCCCTGCCCCTCCTCGCTCGGCGAGTCATCGCCGTCTGAGTCATTTTCCTCTGCGAACGACGCGGCCACCGCGGCGGTGAGCTCAGCCTCCCTGGGGTGGCCCAGCGCGCGCGCGTGGCACTGCTGCAGCCGCGCCAGCAGCTGCAGAGCGCCGCTGACCACGTCCTGCCGCGTTCGGCGCGCATCGAGGCATGTGTGAGGTTTCATAATGGGGTTTGAGGTCCAAGGGCCGGCGTGAGAGACCAGCGTGTGGTGCATTCGCGGGCGTGGGTGAGTCGTGATACAGGCATTAAATTCAATTATCTCTGCGGCAGCCTGGAAAAGCTGAAGCAGCAAAACTCAACATGATTGGCGCAGGCACCTGCAGATGCGAGCACGCACGTGCACGCACGTGCATGCACGCGCGCACGCACGCGCGCACACGCGCACACACACACACACACACACACACACACACACACACACACGCGCGCGCACACGCACACACATGCACACACACACACACACACACAC